AATCACGGACGCTTCTCTTCGTTGGCCATTTTGGATTTCTAACCAATCAGAATATAATCACGGACGCTTCTCTTCGTTGGCCATTTTGGATTTCTAACCAATCACGCTTCTCATATTAGGAGAATATGAATCAAAGTAGGTAGCACTAACTCCTATTGCTGACGTCACACGAGGAGTTAGTGGAACTTCCTATCACTTTATATTTGCCTAATACAGAGTGTGTATTTCGAGCCGATTCCGCTAGATGGCGTTAGTATAATTAGAAAATACTTCAACACCTTTTCTCTAAAAATATTTAATCGTTCCCTGTTATGTATTCAGACAAAATGTGCGAAAGGAAAATAGATTCAATTAATTTGTCCTCTACTGGGACTTGGATATGCGGATTGCATGGTGTCAACGCAGCTGACGTGCATTGATAAACATATTAAAAACTCTTCTCCGAAATACGATTTATGTATTAAAAAACAAATTCAATATGCTATTAGTTTCAATCTTCAACCTGAGAATCACGTTCCACCGCGAGACGAATATTTATCATTTAAACACGTGAAAACTACTATTCTAACCTTTGAGGTTATCCACCGCGAGATTAAAAATGAACAATTTGACAGACGCACATTGGTTCCCCTTGGCGTCGCAGGGTAACATTTACTCATTGACGAAACTCTGTTCCGTCAACGGTTCTAACAAAGTGTTAGTGGCTTCATTAAAGCGGAAAATATATTCCTGCGAATGCCACCTGATGCAGAATCTGCATTTACGGCCACTGGTCAAAGAACTGCTCTTCACATACATTCCCAGTATGTAAATGAAAACGACAAAGAAGATTACAATTTTCTAAACATGTTTTATTAACAGGTGGTGCAGAAATTATATCTATTGACGCTTATAATAAATCCGACGGTGGCGATGGATTCGTCATTGGAATAACTATCCTAAAAGCGAGCACAGACACTTCTGTAGAAAGATATTTAAACATTTACACAGAAGGTGCAGTGGACGGGGACGGAGACGAAGCGAGTTCTATCGAAGCCATAGCACAAAACTGCCTCATGGTGGAACTCACGTACACTCCTTATCATTTGTACCATACGATACTCCCACAACAAGATTCCCCAAACGAGGTAGAGAAGATTTAAAATGCACAGCATGTTCAAAGGGGATATTCCTACATGATTTATTGAATTCACGTCCTACAGGTTTTAAAGACCCGCAGTATTAATCGTTGAAAATGTACCCAGGTCGTGTGGCTGCTCTCTGGCAGTGATTACAAGATTCACATGATCAAGGAAGATAAATTGAATCATGGCTATAGCGAGTCTCCGATTGAGAAATACTTTCCTGAGCTGCACGACATTCAAGGAATCGCTATATGGATGAACATCTACTATTATGATAACTGTAATTGGTACGAATTCCTGAATCTTTCAGTTTTGTATACATTTTAATTGATTTATGTTTGATTAGGAGGCTCACAGTGATCGGCTGTGAATGCGGACTGGTTATCGTAGCTATAACTAACGTTTTAGAATTGAAAATATGCGAGAGATGGAAATTGAGGTACGACAGGCCCATCTCCAGTGTGTCTGTCTTCCCATTAAAGAATAATATCGATAAACCTTCGTTCGTTAAATCCAAAGGTAATTAATACTGAATTAGATCCTTGACAGAATGAAATATCTTTGCTATTCACAGATTCAGATTGCCCAACGAAGGATCAGGACACTAAATTAAACGTTGTTGTTGTGAACACTTACAACGCAGTTGTTTTCATGTAAGTAGAATGAAACTCTGTAATTTAATTAAAGATACTGATGTACTTTTTTTAATTAGGGACGTTTTGAATAATGGAATGGATAATGATATCACGTTGACTGGCAGTGAAACGTCTGATTGCATTCTGTGTTCCTGCATAGCTGATATAAATATGGATGGTCAGAATGAAATCCTGTTAGGAACTTATGGGCAAGAAGTACTGATATTCTCTTTTGTCAATGACACGTGGGAATTGATTATTAGGAAACTGTTCGACGCTCCTGTTCATTCGATATGTTATATGGATATCACGAATGATGGTATGAAGGAGCTGATTGTACTTACACAACGAGGAGTGCATATATTGCAGCACAATATTACGGATGTTAAAGTTAAGTGGAGGAAACGATTTAAAAAATTTATAGAGGAAAGAATATAAACGATCA